CAGCAGCAGCAGCAGCAGCAGCAGCAGCAGCAGCAGCAGCAGCAGCAGCAGCAGCAGAAGCAGAAGCAGCAGCAGCAGCAGCAGCAGCAGCAGCAGCAGCAGCAGCAGCAGCAGCAGCAGCAGCAGCAGCAGCAGCAGCAGCAGCAGCAGCAGCAGCAGCAGCAGCAGCAGCAGCAGCAGCAGCAGCAGCAGCAGCAGCAGCAGCAGAAGCAGCAGCAGCAGCAGCAGAAGCAGCAGCAGCAGCAGCAGCAGCAGCAGCAGCAGCAGCAGCAGCAGCAGCAGCATCAGAAGCAGCAGCAGCAGCAGCAGCAGCAGCAGCAGCAGCAGGAGCAGCAGCAGCTGCAGCAGCAGCAGCAGCATCAGCAGCAGCAGCAGCAGCAGCAGCAGCAGCAGCAGCAGCAGCAGCAGCAGCAGCAGCAGCAGCAGCAGCAGCAGCAGCAGCAGCAGCAGCAGCAGCAGCAGCAGCAGCAGCAGCAGCAGCAGCAGCAGCAGCAGCAGCAGCAGCAGCAGCAGCAGCAGCAGCAGAAGCAGCAGCAGCAGCAGCAGCAGCAGCAGCAGCAGCAGCAGCAGCAGCAGCAGCAGCAGCAGCAGCAGCAGCAGCAGCAGCAGCAGCAGCAGCAGCAGCAGCAGCAGCAGCAGCAGCAGCAGCAGCAGCAGCAGCAGCAGCAGCAGAAGCAGCAGCAGCAGCAGCAGAAGCAGCAGCAGCAGCAGCAGCAGCAGCAGCAGCAGCAGCAGCAGCAGCAGCAGCATCAGAAGCAGCAGCAGCAGCAGCAGCAGCAGCAGGAGCAGCAGCAGGCAGCAGCAGCAGCAGCAGCAGCAGCAGCAGCAGCAGCAGCAGCAGCAGCAGCAGCAGCAGCAGCAGCAGCAGCAGCAGCAGCAGCAGCAGCAGCAGCAGCAGCAGCAAGCAGCAGCAGCAGCAGCAGCAGCAGCAGCAGCAGCAGCAGCAGCAGCAGCAGCAGCAGCAGCAGAAGCAGCAGCAGCAGCAGCAGCAGCAGCAGCAGCAGCAGCAGCAGCAGCAGCAGCAGCAGCAGCAGCAGCAGCAGAAGCAGCAGCAGCAGCAGCAGCAGCAGCAGCAGCAGCAGCAGCAGCAGCAGCAGCAGCAGCAGCAGCAGCAGCAGCAGCAGCAGCAGCAGCAGCAGCAGCAGCAGCAGCAGCAGCAGCAGCAGCAGCAGCAGCAGCAGCAGCAGCAGCAGCAGCAGCAGCAGCAGCAGCAGCAGCAGCAGCAGCAGCAGCAGCAGCAGCAGCAGCAGCAGCAGCAGCAGCAGCAGCAGCAGCAGCAGCAGCAGCAGCAGCAGCAGCAGCAGCAGCAGCAGCAGCAGCAGCAGCAGCAGCAGCAGCAGCAGCAGCAGCAGCAGCAGCAGCAGCAGCAGCAGCAGCAGCAGCAGCAGCAGCAGCAGCAGCAGCAGCAGCAGCAGCAGCAGCAGCAGCAGCAGCAGCAGCAGCAGCAGCAGCAGCAGCAGCAGCAGCAGCAGCAGCAGCAGCAGCAGCAGCAGCAGCAGCAGCAGCAGCAGAAGCAGCAGCAGCAGCAGCAGCAGCAGCAGCAGCAGCAGCAGCAGCAGCATCAGAAGCAGCAGCAGCAGCAGCAGCAGCAGCAGGAGCAGCAGCAGCATGCAGCAGCAGCAGCAGCAGCAGCAGCAGCAGCAGCAGCAGCAGCAGCAGCAGCAGCAGCAGCAGCAGCAGCAGCAGCAGCAGCAGCAGCAGCAGCAGCAGCAGCAGCAGCAGCAGCAGCAGCAGCAGCAGCAGCAGCAGCAGCAGCAGCAGCAGCAGCAGCAGCAGCAGCGCAGCAGCAGCAGCAGCAGCAGCAGCAGCAGAAGCAGCAGCAGCAGCAGCCAGAAGCAGAAGCAGGCAGCAGCAGCAACAGCAGCAGCAGCAGCAGCCAGCTAGCAGCAGCAGCAGCAGCAGCAGCAGCAGCAGCAGCAGCAGCAGCAGCGCAGCAGCAGCAGCAAAGCAGTCAGCAGCAGCAGCAGCAGCAGCAGCAGCAGCAGCAGCAGCAGCAGAGCAGCAGCAGCAGCAGCAGCAGCAGCAGCAGCAGCAGCAGCAGAAGCAGCAGCAGCAGCAGCAGCAGCACGCAGCAGCAGCAGCAGCAGCAGAAGCAGCAGCAGCAGCAGAAGCAGAAGCAGCAGCAGCAGCAGCAGCAGCAGCAGCAGCAGCAGCAGCAGCAGCAGCAGCAGCAGCAGCAGCAGCAGCAGCAGCAGCAGCAGCAGCAGCAGCAGCAGCAGCAGCAGCAGCAGCAGCAGCAGCAGCAGCAGCAGCAGCAGCAGCAGCAGCAGCAGCAGCAGCAGCAGCAGCAGCAGCAGCAGCAGCAGCAGCAGCAGCAGCAGCAGCAGCAGCAGCAGCAGCAGCAGCAGCAGCAGCAGCAGCAGCAGCAGCAGCAGCAGCAGCAGCAGCAGCAGAGCAGCAGCAGCAGCAGCAGCAGCAGCAGCAGCAGCAGCAGCAGCAGCAGCAGCAGAAGCAGCAGCAGCAGCAGCAGCAGCAGCAGCAGCAGCAGCAGCAGCAGCAGCAGCAGCAGCAGCAGCAGCAGCAGCAGCAGCAGCAGCAGCAGCAGCAGCAGCAGCAGCAGCAGCAGCAGCAGCAGCAGCAGCAGCAGCAGCAGCAGCAGCAGCAGCAGCAGCAGCAGCAGCAGCAGCAGCAGAAGCAGCAGCAGCAGCAGAAGCAGCAGCAGCAGCAGCAGCAGCAGCAGCAGCAGCAGCAGCAGCAGCAGCAGCAGCAGCAGCAGCAGCAGCAGCAGCAGCAGCAGCAGCAGCAGCAGCAGCAGCAAGCAGCAGCAGCAGCAGCAGCAGCAGCAGCAGCAGCAGCAGCAGCAGCAGCAGCAGCAGCAGCAGCAGCAGCAGCAGCAGCAGCAGCAGCAGCAGCAGGCAGCAGCAGCAGCAGCAGCAGCCAGCAGCAGCAGCCAGCAGCAGCAGCAGCAGCAGCAGCAGCAGCAGCAGCAGCAGCAGCAGCAGCAGCAGCAGCAGCAGCAGCAGCAGCAGCAGCAGCAGCAGCAGCAGCAGCAGCAGCAGCAGCAGCAGCAGCAGCAGCTAGAGGGGGAGGGAAAAGGGGGAAGCGAGTGGGGAGTGGGGATTCGGTTGCTGTCGTGTTGCTGGCGATGCTTGAGAATTGATGAAAGCCCTGAGAGGGGGAAGGAGGAGTGGGGGAAGGGGACAAAGCAGGGGTGGGAAAGAGCAGCAGCAGCAGCCACAGCAGCAGAAGAGGTGGGTACTTGAGTTGAGCTGCTGTGGCCCGAAAAACGGCCACAGGATATCCCCCCACACACAGATTCCCATCACACACCGACTCCCCTCCTCACTCCCCAACTCACCATATTCACCGGGACAGCAAGCCAAAACTTCTTCTTGGGAAGATAACCCCAGGTTACCTGATAGGGGCCTTCACACACTAAACCCCATCACACCCCAACTCCCCTCGCACACCAACTCCCACCACACACCACCTTCCTCACACACCAACCAACTCACCATTTTCACCGGGACAGCAAGCCGGAGCTTTTTCTTGGGAAGATAACCCCAAGGTGCCTGATATGGGCGGGGGGAGGGGGGAGATGGCAGCACAAAAACGAGAGAGCGGGAGAAGGGTGAGGGAGAAAGGGAAGGGAAAGGGAAGGGGTAGGGGGAGAGATGAAGCTGTCACTCATGGGGGAAGGGCAGCAGTACTAGAGAAAAGCTTTAGCAAGTAAGAAAGAGAAAGAGAAAGAGAGGGGGAAGGAAAGTGGGAAGGTTTTTGTGAATGAGAAATGAAGCGTGATGGAGGACGGGGGGAGTTCAATGAGAGAGAAGGAGCAGAGAGAGTAAGGGATGGAGAGAAGGCAACTTGAAGGAATTGCAGGGGAATGGTAGCCCCCAACTCAAGAAGGAATGGTAGCCCCCAACTCAAGAAGGAATGGTAGCCCCCAACTCAAGAAGGAATGGTAGCCCCCAACTCAAGAAGAAATGGTAGCCCCCAACTCAAGAAGGAATGGTAGCCCCCAACTCAAGAAGGAATGGTAGCCCCCAACTCAAGAAGGAATGGTAGCCCCCAACTCAAGAAGGAATGGTAGCCCCCAACTCAAGAAGGAATGGTAGCCCCCAACTCAAGAAGGAATGGTAGCCCCCAACTCAAGAAGGAAAGGTAGCCTTCTAGGTGAATTTTGAGTCGACTCAAAAGTCACCTCGTTACTATGGCACACGACATTTTTTTAGTCGACTCAAAAGTCAACTTGAAGGAATTGCAGGGGAATGGTAGCCCCCAACTCAAGAAGGAAAGGTAGCCTTCTATTTCTGTGCAGGAAGCGTCTGCAAAGACCCCAACTTTATGTGACTTTGGTGGAGGAACAAGGAGAAGGAAGAGGCTGCACTTATGGCCTCGAGTTTACTTTTGAGTCGTCTCAAAAGGTGGCCTTCTATTTTTCTGCAGGAAGCGTCTTCAAAGGCCCCAAATTTGTGTGACTTTGGTGGAGGAACAAGGAGAAGGAAGAGGCTGCACTTATGATGACCTCGAGTTTCCATCAGTTATGCTCTATTTTTTCCTCTCTCCAATCCTACCCTATCATTCACCTGATTCGATCCTCACCTTATTTGATCCTCACCTGATTCGATCCTCACCTTATTTGATCCTCACCTGGTTCGATTCGACCCTCACCTGGTTCGACCCTCCAGGCCACACAACAGTTGACCAGCTGTCGTTGGCCCCTCGCTGCACTAGTCGCTGGTGTGGGAGGGAGGAGGGTGAGAGTGGGAGGGAGGAGAGTGAGAGGGAGGGAGTAGGGGGGGCAGGGTGGGACAAGGAATGAGTGGGGCAGGATTGACTGCATTGACTGCATTGACTGCATTGACTCCCTTGGGATTACCTTGGTGGTGGACAACAGCCCTCTGCTGCTCTGCCAGTACGCCACCACTCGCGCAGTGCCGTTGACCACGTTGATAACCTCCAAGTCGCTCTTGTCCCGGTCTCCATTGGGCAAAAGATTCAACCTGCATGGCAGGCGTGTGTGCGGGGAGGCACGTGAAAAACAGGTTCAATGGGCATTCGTGTTGGCCACGTTGATGACCTCCAAGTCGCTCTTGTCCCGGTCTCCATTGGGCAGCAGATTCAACCTGTATGCATGGTCATGTGGAATTGGAAGATAGGGTGTTTGTATTAGCTGACAGTGGCTTCAACCACGTTGACCACCTTGACCACATTGACCACGTTGACCACATTGATAACCTCCAGATCGCTCTTGTCCCGGTCTCCATTGGGCAAGAGACTCAACCTGCAAGGATGACCACATGGAAATAGATAGAGTACTACTTTCAGTGGGAAGTGGAGTTGACTGCGTTGACCACGTTGACCACGTTGATCCCTTCCATGTCGCTCTTATGCCTGTCTCCGTTGGGCAGTAGATTCAACCTGCATGACCACATCCAAGAAAAATAGAGAGTCGGTTTCATTCAATATGAAGTGGCATTGACCACGTTGACCACCTCAAGGTCGCTCTTATCCCCGTCTCCGTTGGGCAGCAGATTCAACCTGCATGGCAGGCGTGTGTGTGATTGCGGCACGTGAAAGGTTCTTTGTTTCAGTAAGCAGTATCGCTGACCACATTGACCACATTGATCACTTCCATATCGCTCTTCTCCCGGTCTCCATTGGGCAAAATATCCAACCTGCATGCATGGCCACGTCGTAAATAGAGTGTGTGTTTCAATGGGCAGTGGTGTTGACTGTGTTGACCGTGTTGACCGCGTTGACCACCTTGACTGCTTTCAGTTCGCTCTTATACCGGTCTCCTGGTCAGGAGATAAAACGTTTTTCTTTTTCTTTTCTTTTCTTGTGGAAAGACCTCCCAGCTCTTCTAACCCGTCTCTCACCTCCCAGTGGTCCCTTTTATATCCGTCTGCAGCAGCAGCACCTCTTGAATTTCTCTCCCTCTCATTGCCAGCCCTCCCTCCCCATCATCCCCTCTCCTCCTCTCACCTTCCAGTGACCTCTTGAATATCCGTCTGCAGAAGCACCTCTTGCATGCTTGAACCTTGCACCTTCCCATCTCACACCCCCTTCCCTCTCCTCCTCTCACCTTCCAGTCACCCCTTTCATATCCGTCTGCAGAAGCACCTCTTGCATGCGTGAACCTTGCACCTTCCCATCTCACACCCCCTTCCCTCTCCTCCTCTCACCTTCCAGTCACCCCTTTTATATCCGTCTGCAGAAGCACCTCGCGAAGAGCAGCGCCGTCTGAAAGGTGGGAGGGGGGGGGGGGAGGAGGAGAGGGAGGTGAGGGGGGGATGGGGGAGTATGCAAGGAGGTGGGGATGACGGGGATATGGGGAAAGGGGAGAGTGAAAACCCCTTTTGTATCCGTCTGCAACAGCACCTCATGAAGAGCAGCGCCGTCTGAAAGGTGGGGGGGGGGGGGAGGAGGAGAGGGGAAGGAGAGTAGGGGGGAAAGAGGAGTGTGTAAAGGGAGCATAGGGGCACCTCACAGTCACACGTGCTTACATGTTCCCTCACAGGCTTCCCCACATGCCCCTTCACACACGCTCAGATGCTTACATGGTCGGACTTTGATGCCCGATGACCGACCCTGGCAGTGCTTGCTCCCTCCCCACCACTGCCACCACCACTCCCATACCCCTCCACATCAAATGTCCAATGGTCTTACATGGTCTGACTTTGATTCTCGAGAGGAGGGGCGAGATGGCATTGTGCCCAACGACCGACTCTGCCAGTGCTGCTTGCTCCCCACATGATGTCCCCTGCCATTCCATGCCCATGTGCTTACATGTTCCCATCCTCCCATGCCCACACACCCACAGGCTTACATGGTCTGACTTTGATGCCTGAGAGGAGGGGCGAGATTGAGTTGTGCCCAATGACCGACTCTGGCAGTGCCTGTTGCCCCCCACATGATGTCCCCTGCCATTCCATGCCCATGTGCTTACATGTTCCCATCCTCCCATGCCCACACACCCACAGGCTTACATGGTCTGACTTTGATGCCTGAGAGGAGGGGCGAGATTGAGTTGTGCCCAATGACCGACTCTGGCAGTGCCTGTTGCCCCCCACCACTCATTCTGCTGCTATTGTTGGTGGTGGTGCTACTGCTGCTGCTTGTGTTGCCAGCAGCAACAGTGCCGTTGCTGCTGCTGGTGCTGTTGCTGCCGCTGGTGGTGTTGCTGGTGCTGTTGCTGCTGCTGCTGGTGTTGCTGGTGCTGTTGCTGCCGGGAGTGAAAACTCCAGTATCAACAGCCGTTTGGAGGGCGTGAGTGACAAACATAATGGTGTCGTATCCCAGCAGCGTGTAGATGTCCGGCTGGGGGGGAAAGAGAGGGAGAGAGGGGGAGCAGAAACAGTGGCACTGGTACTGCTGGTGTTGCTGCTGAAGGGCGTGAGTGACGAACATGATTGTGTCGTATCCCAGCAGCGTGTAGATGTCCGGCTCGGGGGGAGGTGGGGAGAGTACAGGGGAGGGAGAGGGAGGGGAGAACAGCTCTTGAAGCGTCTCAAAGGGCGTGAGTGACGAACATGATGGTGAGAGACGTACTGTTGCTGTTAATTAGCGCCTACACCACTTCATTCACACCACACGCCACACCACACCATGCCGCACCACACCGTACCGTACACCAACGCACCTTCTCCCCCGCCCCCGGGTACTGTTTGGGATCCACACTGTTCCAGAGCTTGCTGAAACTGGCAAGCTCAGGTGATGGCGGCACACATCACTACACCACACCACACTGCACCGCACCACACCGCACAGCACCACACCCAATCCCAACACCACCACCATCTCAAACGCACCTTTTCCCCTGCTCCTGGGTACTGTTTGGGATCCACACTGTTCCAGAGCTTGTTGAAACTGGCGAGCTCAGGTGATGGCGGCAGGTAGGCCTGAATGCCCAACACGCCCTGGTGGGTGGGGAAGGCAGGGAAAGAAGGAAAGAGGGGTTTTGTAGGGAGAGGGCACGAGGGTGGGGGTAAGTAGCGGTGTCTGTATCAGACGAGTGCTACAAACAAAGTCCCAGAAACAGCACCTCCTCCTCCCCACACACTCCCTCCCTACACACTCCCTCCCTACACACTCCCTCCCCACACACTCCCTCCCCACACACTCCCTCCCCACACACTCCCTCCCCACACACTCCCTCCCCACACACTCCCTCCCCACGCACTCCCTCCCCTTCCACGTGGAAAAAGGTAATCTGGTATGCTGACATGACATGGACTCTCACTCACCTCCATGGCTTGTCTGACGTGGATTGACTCACATCCATGGCCTGTCTGACGTGGATTGACTCACCTCCATGGCTTTCCTGACGGGTGCCAGCGTGTCATCTCCGCTAATCACAACCGTCCACGTGGCTTCAGTGGCAATCCACGCGTACGGGGCAGTCAGCAGCCCCAGCTCCATGGCTGCATGGGGGATAGGAAGGCATGGGTTAAGGTGGAATGCGGTGAAAAGGGATGGGAAATGGTGCACGATGCACGGTGCAACATCCACGTGGTGGCCTCTGTGGCTATCCACACGTATGGCGCTGTCAGCGGCCCCAGCTCCATGGCTGAGAGGAGGCACGTACAGGGGTAGCCCAGGTTGGGAGGTATGGATAAAGATGGAATGCGGTAAAAAGGGATGGTGCATGGGGCACAGTCCACCGTCCACGTGGCCTCTGTGGCAATCCAAGCATATGGAGCGGTTAGCAGCCCCAGCTCCATGGCTGCAAGGAGGTATGGGAGAAGGTGGAATGTGGTAAGAAGGGATGTGATGGCATGGTGCACGATGCACGGTGCACTGTCCACGTTGCCTGTGTGGCTATCCACGCGTATGGGGCTGTCAGCAGGCCCAGCTCCATGGCTGCATAGGGGGTAGGGAGGCATGGGGTAAGGTGTTGAAGAGGTGAAATGGTGCAGGGAATGGGAAGGTGGAATGCGGTGAGAAGGGATGGGAAATGGTGCATGGAACACCGCCCACGTGGCCTCTGTGGCTATCCACGCGTATGGCGCTGTCAGCAGCCCCAGCTCCATAGCTGCATGGGTGGTAGGGACGGAGGCATCAGGTTAGGAGGAATTGCGGTGAAATGGCATGTGAAAGGGTGCATGGTACACACACTGTCCACATGGCTTCAGTGGCTATCCATGCATATGGCGCTGTCAGCAGCCCCAGCTCCATGGCTGCAAGGAGGTATGGGGTAAGGTTGAATGCGGTAGAAAGGGACGGGGCATGGTGCATGAGGTTTCCTTATGTGTACGGAATGGTGCAGTCAGCAGCCCCAGCTCCATGGCTGTGAGTTAGGTATGGGGAAAGGTGGAATGCGATAAAAAGGGATGTGAAATGGTGCACGGTGCATGCGTATGGCGCAGTCAGCAGCCCCAGCTCCATGGCTGCGAGGAGATTCAGGGGTACGGAGATATGAAGCACGGTGTTGGTAGGCGGTAAAAATGTATGGTGCACGGTATGTGGTGCATGGGTTATAGAGCATTCAGCAGGCACCGCTCTCCACTCACTCCTTCCTATCAGCAATAAACAATCGGCCCATGTCCTGCCCCCCTGCATCATGCACCACCACTACTAACCCACCAGCACTCAACCACCCCTGCCTACCCTTCACTCCCGCTATCAACCAGCCATGCCATTCACTCCCCCCTACCAGCAATGAAGACTCGCCCCGTGTCCTGCCCCCCTGCATCGTGCACCACCACCACCATTGTCGACCCCTCTCTCTCTCTCCACCAGAGGCAGCAGCCTGCCTACCAGTTGTGGCCTTTAGCAATGCTATCAGCTGTAGCAGCTGTATGACTTCCCCCTACACCTCCCCCACCCCCTCTTTCCCCACCAGCAATGAACACTCGCCCCGTGTCCTGCCCCCTGCATCGTGCACCACCACCACTGTCGACTCCTCCCGTCCCGCTCCACCAGAGGCAGCAGCTTGCCTACCAGCTCTAGCACCCTCCTTACCAGCAATCCTGTGGCAGCTGCATCAATCCCCCCTGACCCCTACCAGCCCCCACCTACCAGCAATGAACACCCGCCCCGTATCCTGCCCCCCAGCATCGTGCACCACCATTACTAACCCACCAGCATTCAACCACCCCTGCCTACCCTTCACTCCCGCTATCAACCAGCAAAACCATTCACTCCCCCCTACCAGCAATGAAGACTCGCCCCGTGTCCTGCCCCCCTGCATCGTGCACCACCACCACTGTCGACTCCTCCCGCTCCACCAGAGGCAGCAGCTTCTCTTTCACGTCTGCCACGGTCCATGTGATGTCTAAAGGTATGGCGCGAGATATTCTTGCTTTAGAGCCCTGGGGCATGGGAAGGAGAGGGAGAGGGAGGGGGGGAAGGGGGAGGATGTTGTTTGAGTCGACTCCTCTTGCTCCCCCAGGGGCAGCAGCTTCTCCTTCACGTCTGAGGGAGGGGAAGGCGGGAAAGGCGGAAGGGAGTGGTTTGAGTCGACTCCTCCCGTTCCACCAGAGGCAGCAGCTTCTCTCCTACACGTCTGCCACGGTCCACGTGATGTCGAGCGGTATGGCGCGAGATATCCTCGCCTTGGAGCCCTGGGGGAGGGGGAGGGAGAGGGAGGGAGAAGGAGAGGGAGAGAGAGGCAAGGGAGGGAGGACGGGATGTGGTGAGGGTGAGGGTCGAAGAAGGTACATGGTCTGCTCAGCATTTATAGAAGAAGGGCTTTCATAGCAACGTGAGTCTATGGGGATCGTCTGCTATGTGGTGTTCAGCAAAAACATTGTAATGATCCGAGGCACTGATTCCAGAGCAATTATGCCGTTGCGACGAAAGCGGTTGTTCTTCTGCAGCTTTTGAGGCGCCTAAACAAAACTTTTGCAGCTTTAGAGGCGCCTGAAAAAATCGTCTGCAGCTTCTGGACGCCTAAAACTCTCCTCTGCAGCTGCCTCACCTCACTCAATAGAGGCCACATGAGGGTCATACAATTGAATTGATGTTACATACCTTGTTCTGCAGCGCCGATTCGAGAGCAACGATGCCGTTGCGGCCAAAGCGGTTGTCAATGTAGATTGTGACCACCTCCAACCACCTGTCCTCCTCGTGATGCCTGATGATGTCTGCATGGAGGCATGGAGGCATGGAGGCATGGAGGCATGGATGCATGGATGCATGGAGGCATGGAGGCATGGAGGCATGGATGCATGGAGGCATGGATGCATGGAGGCATGGATGCATGGAGGCATGGATGGATGGAGGCATGGAGGCATGGATGCATGGAGGCATGGATGCATGGAGGCATGGATGGATGGAGGCATGGAGGCATGGATGCATGGAGGCATGGATGCATGGATGCATGGATGCATGGAGGCATGGAGGCATGGATGCATGGAGGCATGGAGGCATGGAGGCATGGAGGCATGGATGCATGGAGGCATGGAGGCATGGATGCATGGAGGCATGGAGGCATGGATGCATGGAGGCATGGAGGCATGGAGGCATGGAGGCATGGATGCATGGAGGCATGGAGGCATGGAGGCATGGAGGCATGGAGGCATGGAGGCATAGCAGTGAGAGGCAACGCAGGAATCAAATCGGAGCACGGCCAAAGCGGTTGTCACCTCCAACCACCTGTCCTCCTCGTGATGCCGGATTATGTCTGTGTGTGCATGCAGCAAGAGGCACGACAGGAAATGATCCAGGCAGTTCCGTCCACACACACGACACAGCACGGCCGAAGCAGTTGTCAATGTAAATGGTGGTTACCACCTCCGTCCACCTGTTTATGCAACTCTCCATACAGGAAACAGTTTTTTGAGAATTCTCAAAACTCAGATCTATCACAGCCGAAGCAGTTGTCAATGTAAATGGTAACAACCACCTCTATCCATCTGTCCATACGAATCTTCGTACAGGAAACAACCAGTTGTTATTGCACGGGCATGATCAGTAATCACCTGGTAATTTACAGGAGCACTCCCTAATCACATGCGATTGCACAGGCTGTTCCAACCAATCATCACCACGGGAATTCCTACTTACCGCCTGCAATTTCCCGGGCATGATCGGTAATCGCCTGCAATTGCCTGCATCTCAGCAGCATCGCTCTGTGAGTCGTTCGCATGACAAATTGCCGCTCCGTTCTGACAGTGAGGGTGGAATTCATGGGTATACCTATTTATCAACTGTAATTTCCCGGGCATAATCGGCAGTTACCTGCGATTGCCTGCATCTCAGCAGCATCACTGTGGGTCGTCCGCATGACAAATTGCCGCTCTGTGCTGACAGTGAGGGTGGGATCCGTGGCAGCATAGGCCACCATGGGGATCTGAAGGAACAAGGAGAGAAGGAGAAATAAGAGAGAGAACAGGTGAGGTATAGTGAGGCGCGCCAAAGGAAAGCCGCCCATTCTGACAGTGAGGGTGGGGTGCGTGGCAGCATAGGCCACTATGGGGATCTGAAAGAATACGGGGAGGAGATATGAGGAGAGGAGTGGTTGGCGTGGTGTGCGGTTCCAAGCGCAGTGAGGGTGGGGTTCGGAGCGGTGAGGTCAATGTCCGTGGAACTCATTCAGCTAACACGGGCGGGCGGTATCATATTCGACAAACCTGGGCGGCGCTCTTGGCCGGCCTTTTTGAGACTGGATTGACTTTTGAGACGTCTGAAAAGGCGGGCGGCATCATATTCAACCAACCTGGGCGGCGCTCTGCGGCAATCCTAGGCTGACCAACCCGGATCCCTAGGCTGACCTGGGCGGCATTCCCAAGGCTGCTTCAGAGCAGCGCCACCTGTCCCAACAGCATTGGCCCGACGATGAGCAGCGGTATTCCCTAGACTAACCTGCCAGCGCTATTCTCTAGACTGACCTGGGCGGCATTCCCGAGGCTGCTTCCAAGCAGCGCCACCTGTCCCGACAGCATTGGCCCGACGATGAGCAGCGGATCCTTCTTCATCGCCTCTAGACCTGATGAGGGGAAGGGAGGTGGAGGGGGGAAGGGAAGGAGACAGGGGACCAGGGGGAAGGAGGGGGAGGGACAGCATTGGCCCCACGATGAGCAATGGATCCTTCTTCATCGCCTCAAGACCTAGTTAGGGGGGAAGCACCGTTATGGGGGAATCACACGGACGAGGAGACAGGGGAACAGGGGGGCAAGGGGGAGAATTGGGACAGAAATGGCCGCACGATGAGCATCCGATCCTTCTTCATTGCCTCGAGACCTAGTTAGGAGGGAAAGGCGGTGGAGGGGGGAGTGAGGGGAGACAGGGAACAAAGGGGGGCGGGGAGAAAGGGACAGCATTGGCCCGACGATGAGCAGCCGATCCTTCTTCATCGCCTCTTGCGAGGCGCCTCAAAACCCTCGCGCCCCCCCTCACCTCTCAGCACCTCTCAGCACCTCATAACACCTCCCCCCCCTTCTCCTCCCCTCTCTCACCTGCCAGCTGTCCGAGGAACAGCCGTTCGCCTCAAAGCCCTCGCCCTCGCGCCTTTTAACCTCTCAGCACCTCTCAGCACCTCGCACCTCCGCTCTCTCACCTGCCAGCTGTCCGAGGAACGGCGTCGCTCTTGCGAGGCGCCTAAAAGTCTTAACGCCCACTGGCACCTCTCAGCACCTCTCAGCATCTGCCACCACCTCCCGTCTCTCACCTGCCAGCTGTCCGAGGAACGGCATTGCTCACCTCAAAGCCTTCACTCCCCTTCACCTCTCAGGTCCTCTCAGCACCGCTCTCACCTGCCAGCTGTCTGAGGAACGGCGTCGCGCTGCCGTCCAGCAGCTGCCTCTCTTACCTCCCACAACCTCCCACCACCACTCAGCACCTCTCACCTGCCAGCTGTTATCTCCTACCACCTCCCATCACCGCTCAGCACCTCTCACCTCCCCTCTCTCACCTGCCAGCTGCCCGAGGAATGGGGTGGGCCCGCCGTCCAGCAGCTCTTACCTCCCACTCAGCGCCTCCCATCACCGCTCAGCACCTCTCACCGCCCCGTCTCTCACCTGCCAGCTGTCCGAGGAAAGGCGTGGCTCCGCCGTCCAGCAGCTGCATATCGAGGCGGTGACGTGGCAGCAGGCGCGGGTTGGCGTTGACTTGGTCAACGCCCAGACGCAGCGCTGTGGGAAGCGGAAAGGGGCGAAGGGGAGGGGTCAGGGGGGAGAGCGGAAGGGGTTAAGGGGCCGAAAATAGGGGAAAGGGGGGGCAGTAGGTGGGAGTTGGCGTTGACTTGATCAACGCCCAGACGCAGCGCTGCGGGAAGCGGAAAGGAGCGAAGGGGAGTGGAGGGGGGAGAGCGGAAGGGATGAATGGGGCGAAAATGGGTAATGGGGGGCAGCAGCTGCGGGTTAGCGTTGACCTGGTCAACGCCCAGACGCGCTGCGGGAAGCGGTGGGGGGGCGAAAGGGAAGAGGGGGGAGGGTGGAAAGAAAGGAGGACTCCGGGATTCAGATGGGAAAAGGGGGTGCATTGGGAGTGGAATGAGGCGAGGAGAAGGAAGGGATTCCAGAAGCAGGGCTGTCGCCATGCTTTTGGGCTCAAGCAAACGCACCTGCCGCTTGCTCTCTCTGTGGTGAAGTATGTCGAATCACATAACCTATATACATATGTGTATATATATATATATATATATGTCTACATATATGTCTACATATATGTGTATATATATGTGTAAGGGACACTGTAGTTTACTGTACCTGTTCCCAGCACTGGCAGAAACTCGAGCGAGACAATACTCGCAATCCGAAGAACTTCGCGCCGATCCTCTGTTGCGTTCCCACTGATCCCGCCATCATTCCCGCCGCTAGTACTAGTATTCGAACTTGTACTATTGGAGCTGTCGACAGTCGCATTGCGGGCCGCGCCGCCTTCGGCAGCACCACCATTGGTAGTATTCCCTACGCTTGCCTTCCCGGTGAGCGCACCAGCATTTCCGGACCGCCCTGGCCGCGGCGCCGGCTGCGGCGAAGGTGCGGTGAGGTTTCCGGGCCAAAGAGGCGACGAAGCTTTCGGTATTATTGTTCGCAGCAAATTTCGCCGATTCTCCCACGTTTCTCGCGAGGCAACCGCGTGCGACTCCTCCCGAGTCGCCCATTTAGCGGCTTTTCCCCGCGCCGCCATGGCTGCCGCAGCGATACTGCCACCATCGTAAGCGGCGTTCGTATTAACCACGAGGCACGACTGTCGTGCTGCTGCTGATCGGCGAAATAAACCCTTTCGGCTGATCTGGTTACCAGATAAGCCGCTGTTTCGTCTCCACGACGTTTGCACCCAGAGACGCTCGTCGTTGATTAGTTGCGAAGCAGCGACGGCGGGCGATGTCGCCGATGCGCCGGGAGGGGTCGCTAATCGCACGGAAAGGGCGGTGAGAAAAAGGGTTAGAAGGATGCGACGCGAGCAAAATAGCCACCCGCAACTTGCGGAACAATAGTAGTTAAACTGACACGAATCAACTCGTTTCCAGCCCACGGCGCGGCGATAAATTCCGAGCCGCCAGGCCATCCGCGCTCTGTTAGGCGCCCCTTGTTCGTGTGGTAAAGATGTCATGTCGATCCAAGGAAAGCGGGACTGACCGACGTCGTGAAAAGTCGCGGCGTTAGTACGACTACTAAGAACTAGTACTAGCGTGGCATTCTTCAGTTATTTGTCGTCAAAATCGTTACCGCGTTAGCCTAAAACGAGTCAGCACCCACTACTAGTTGCGACAGAGAGCAGCGTTCCTGAGCAAACCGAAAATACACCAGAGACACTCAATGCAATCCTCCTATTAGTAATAGGACGAAGCCAGGGTCACTGATAAGCGAATCGAACGAGCTCTTCCAGAGACCCAGCGGCCCAGTCCAACAGCGTGTCTGCCCCAGTTACACACCTAGTCACCTGGTGTGTATAGGAAGAGCAGTGGTCAATGCAGCTGCAGCATCACCGAAGTGCCATAGACCACACTAACAGTCTAGGATGTGTAGTGCAGTAGACAGTTGCTAAGGTTTGGATCGGGTTGTCGACTGGTCTGCAAAAAGAAAACATTTCTTGCTATGCTCCCTGCACCGAACCCTGAGTTTTCCAGGAAGAGTATACGACTTACCCTGAATTACCCTGTCCGTCCACACATACGGCGCAACCAGACACTCACACACAACATTGTACGTTGTTACTTCTCGAACATACAATGCAGCGCTTCAACCTCTATTTTCCTACGAAACAATGGAAACTGATCCGCCCTTTCATGGTTTATACCAGACAAGATGACCCCGTGCATTGCATCCAATGTGCCACCATGCTAATGCAAACTGCCACATTTGATTGGAAGACACAGGAAATCCCTTCGTGAAATACCTCATGGTTGCAGGCAGAGATCAGTACAGCACTACTCACACCCCTCTGCACATCTGCACCTCAACCGCTTTCCAAGGGTCGACATTGAAACGTGCAGGATAGGTGCTGTGCGTCGGAGGGGTGGGGGTTTGGTAGGACAGTGGATTGCCGTGCTTAGAGTCAGGGGGGCTTTGTCATAATACCCTTTCACCAGGAGGTCACTCAGATATCACATCAAATACCCCGGACCCTCTTAGACCTCAAAGGTTAGGAAATAAAACGTTTTAGCCTTTTTTTCGGAAGGTTACTAGTACTGCTCTTCCTCAATCACCTCAGTCACGACGAAAATGTGTACAGAGGATTGTTGTGTTGTGTAATCGCCTCACCGCCATCAACTACAGTCCCATCCACGGTGGGGTCTTGTTTCTGGTGCCCCCTCAATTGTATATCGATCGATCTTCAAGGAAGGTGCATGGCACAACTGCTTCAACCGATTGTTTTGGCATCATTTCCAGAAATGGACGACGACTGCGCCGCACTCGCTTGGCTACCTGAAAATGTTTCTGGGTGTAGCTATATGATACTCTTTTTAACAATCAGACATCTGATCACTCTCAATTCCCGCACCTATATATTGGCCTCCACCCACACATCCACAGCACGGAAAGGATTTCCAGCAAACAAGCTGCCAGTTTCTCACGCACATAGGCCACAGTCGCCAAAAGTTCCTCCAAAAGATTTGTTCAAACCCCTTGACGGTCGAGGTTCGTGGCGAAAGCTGAACTGTGTTGAGGGGCAGAAAATATATTTGACCCATATTTAATCGATAACGGGCAGTCATGAAGCTCTTCACTGCGTCTACCTTCATACATTTCAGACGGGCTTCTCGGGTCCTGGTTTTCGCACAGAAGAGCTGACGCAATCGAGTTTTACTGAATTCAAAGCGGTGAACCGCAGCTTGACACACAGAAGAACGGGCACCGTGAACAGAACTGTATATAATTTTACAGTTCAAATGTGCTTGTGAGGGCAGATTGATTGAGAGCAAATCCTGCAACAGTACCATGAATCACAAACTGTCGGAGCTCCCGCCCAATTTTGCGAAAGCCAGGGTGGTGGGCTGGAAAAATAACTCTAGGGCAACTTGGCCTGACTCCAGCCTCCATTCTTGCACCTGCGTGTGCAACGCGATGCGGGCATGGCCAGTGCAGCAGAGCAACGGCACTATTGACGTGGCTGAGTGTACAGAGTAGCGGGGCCCCCAGTACTGTAAAGGGGCACTTGGTGGTGTCCACTGTAGCTCGTAGGGCTGTTCTCGAGACTGTACGAGAGTGTCCTTTGGACGTGTGGTACGGTTATGGCTTTTAACGAAACTAACAGCAACTCCTCCTCACAGTATGTTTGTTATGAGTTGCAGAACCGTGGGTACACACAAAAGCATGATACAGTCATCTTGATTGACAACAATGCCCAACATCTACAAGTTTGGCTGAGCATTTCTGAAGCTTTTTGTAAGCACGGAAAGAGATACTGCCGACTGTAGCATTCCCTTCTGACGATTTCAGCCATCATTCTCGCCCTACTGTGGTAACCGCAAGCACACAGGCTGATTTGTTTTTGCATTTCTGCATACACTTTGCTGGTGCAGTGGGGAACGAGTATTTGACTGTGGCTCCTAGAGGAAAATCAATCCCCATTGGCGCCGCTAGAAAGCCCATCTCTGCACGATAGGAGAGAAGCGGGTTTGGGAGAAGAGTACCGTATGGGAGGCAAGGGATGTGGGGCAGGGTGGCCAAGGTTAGTGAAATGAGTACTTATTTGATGGTGGTTCCTATAAGGGAAGGGAATCGATCCCCATGGGGGCTGCTGTTATGCTCGATTCTGCTTGATGGGAGAGAAGTTTGGGAGAAGAGGAGAGTGGGAGGCAGGGAAGGTGGGTGGTCAGGGTTAGTGAAAGGAGCCTTTGAGCATCGTTGCTAGGGGGAAATAGATACCCATTAATGCTGATACAATGCCCAACTCTGCATGATGGGAGAGAAGGGTGGGTTGGGTTGGGAGAGGTGGGGTGGTCAGCTTCAGTCCGATGGTTGAAGTGTAAGAGAAGGGGGGGCTTATGAATAGAGGAGGTTGGAGAGATAACACGAGAAGAACAATATGCAAGGAAGGGAAAACATAGTAGTCAGGGTGAGTTGAACAGGTGGGAGACGTTGAGTAAAGCTTCCCATATCTTTGTTTTCTTCATTCCTTTTTTTTATTATTTTTTGTCTTTATGGGAAACGTCATGGTCTTTTGGTTTAAACAGGGACAAAAAAATAAATAAAAGGAAGAAGAAGAAGAAAGAGGAAAACAATCAAACAAACAAACAAACAATCGGAAAGCAACGCCAAAGAGGTGACAGAGCTGGTGGGTCATGAATAGGTGCATAGGGTGTGAGTAAGTGAATAGGGTGTGAATAAGTTCATGGGGTGTGAGTAAGTGCATGGGGTGTGAGTGAGTGCACAGGGTATGAGTGAGTGCATGGGGTGTGAGTAAGTACATGGGGTGTGAGATATGGTTGCGTGGGTGTATGTTTGGTTTGGTGCGGGAGTAGGTATAGAAAAGGCATAGGAGTTAAGCTTTAGGTGTCAGCTCTTACACTTGGGATTGACACATGCTGATATTTTCCTCCTGTAGTCCACTCAGTCGAATCCTGTGGGTCCCGGGAAGCGTCTCAGAATAGGAACGTACGAATGATTGACTCGGTTGGAAGGGTGAATACAAGTACTACCTAACCCTAAAGTGTTGTACCCTTTAGGGTATGCCCCACAACAGCCTACAGAGAACAAATTCAATTTGGCACACCCCCGTAGGCAAAGTGGGGGATGGCAAATACAGCGAACGGTCACAAGACCAGTCAAACAAGAGAACAAAGCAAAGCAAAGCTCAGGGTGGATCTCAAGATCACCACGCATTCTGAGCACAAGCAAGCGGCCACAAGGCCAGTTCACATGCAGATTTATAAAAGCACAAGCAGTACAGTGATCAGAACCTAGCAAGAGCAAGCATGCAGGTATATATATATATATAGATCACAATACAGTACAAGACAATTCAAGCAACCAGCAGGTGAGGCCGAGCAGGCACAAGGCCTAGAGTAGTGCAGAAACGCTGATGATCACCAGACCCAAGGGCCTTGGTGAAGACATCAGTAGTGTTGGCCCGAGAGGCCACGTAAGC